TCACCATTTTACCCCCACCCCCCTTCTGAACTCATTTCGTATGAAAAGTTAACAATCTTTTTTTTACTTTACTTTGATCTTTTTACAAAGTTTGAATGTGTTTTACACTTTTCTTTAATGTTATTTTCTTCTTTACATTAGCTGCTTAAGACAGTTTAGACAACTTAATGGAATGATAACAATAGAAAATTCTATCTATCTATCCATCTATGCTATCTGTCTATCTATTTGTCTATATATCTATCAATCCATCTATCTTTCATTCTTTCTTTCTTTCAATATATCTATCTAAATTTGTATCTATCTATATTCATCTACCCATCTATTCTTTTTATATTTATCTATCTATCTATCTATCTATCTATCTATCTATAATCTATCTTTTTATCTATCTATCTATCCATAAATCTTCCAATTGGTCTTAGAGTCTACACTACATTCTCTATAATATCTATATCTATTGAAGATCTTTATCTGAAAACAATCCAATCTAGTTTCCAGTTTTTCAACCTACTTTCAGTACAGGGGAGGGGGTAGTCAATGCACAGTGATTTAATTTATTAGAAAAGTCGGGGCGAGAATGCGGGTTGCACAGCACAGCTTTCGACCCTAATTGCCCGTTCATTTCTCTTTAGATTTACAAAAACTTTATTCAGAAAGTATTTAAGTTTTCGAAACCCAATTGGTTTAAATACAGCACTAAATAGATCTGAATCCCTATATTAAATCTAGCTATATAATAAAGCTCTTCACACATATATTTTTGTATGTATGTTAGCTATAGCTGGCCAAACGACTGAACTGGATGGGCTGAAATTTTTTGAGGGAACCCTTGAGTACCCCGAGGGTAACATAAGTTACACAAAATTCGAATTTTGTTTTTTCAAAATTCAGCTAGTGTTTGATAATTTCCGAACAAAGTATTTTGTGATCAACTCACTGATTTTAAATATTTTTAGTATTTTTAGTTTTTAATTCTATACAATATATTTATCTATGTTAATTTTAGCTGCTCCCTTTCTTTTAGAAAAAACTCTATATTTCATCTTTAATATTTCTTTATCCGTCTATCTAAATTGCCTGTTATGTTTTGAAAGCGGGGCACCTGCGAAATGTTGCAAATCATTTGAACCCATGAATGTACGTTCTACACAACCTCACGAGTCACGGGGCACGTGCGCAAAATTTTGAACAAAATTAGACTCATTTTAAAAAACGAGATTTTCAAATGTTTACTAAGCTCCTGGCGAAATAGACCCAAACTTGTCATTTGTAAATCTTGAGTTTCTATTTCTAAATTGTTAGAAATAAACTTCTAAAATCCAAAACATGACATTTACAATTTCTCCATCAGTTAGTTTCAATTTGCCGCGGGCGTTTTTTTACTTTCCGCTTTTTAGCTCTGAATAGATTCATTTTTTCACAATTATTAAGAGGAATCAGAATAAAGGCCCTTTAAATATTTTTTTCAACTTTTATTGCACTCTATCTGTTAAACGTCTTTATTTTGACACTTTTGTGCTCTTCTTATTTTTTCAAGCAAATATATTGAGACAACAAATTTGTTAAAAATGTGTTTGTTGGGAAATTTGACTCATGATCCTGTCAAACGTCTGATTTCCCTTTCACACCTTTATAGCCCATGTCACATATTTTAGAAACCCCCCCCCTCTCATGCAGGTCCCCCCCCGTTCCATCTATATATAGGGGGGGAGGTCTATATTTTCAACCTATTTTAACGAAAAAGGTGGAAAGTTTGAAGGAAGAAGATAATTGAAAAATAGTTTGAACTCCGTCACCTTCTCTTATCTGGGGACTCCCCCCTCAAATTTCCCGAGGGTTTTTAGGGTTTTATTTTAGTTAGTTTCATGGGGGAATTCTGTTTGGAAAATGGCCCCATTTGAGGCCGCCTGCTAATGGAGCGTGTTCTTGATGTTTCTTTAGACGTCAGTCAGCATTTTTAGGATTTTTTACAGTATCTCTGTACAGATCTATGTCTGCCAACTGCCAAATTATTTTCTTTACGTTCATGTTGTATTTAATATATACGGAGACATTGTACAATATATGTAAACCACTGGATTTATGCTCACATTACCTTTTTACATATTAGAGTATTCTAAAGCACCCCGAACTAACCAGAGAGAGAAGCATTCGGTATCTTTTATTTGAAATCAAACGTGTTTTGGTCTATACTTCAACACTCTTTAAACTTACAGATTTATTTATTTTATACTTTTTTATTCATATATATGCCAACAAAAAATTATTTCAAAAAAAAGGCTATAAAATTATGTATAAGGGGTCAAATTGTGATCAAAATTCACATCTTTCTGAAATATTGACAGAACCATTAAATCCACGTGAAAGAGTCATTCAACTCTCCACAGATAGTTTCATTTACAGGGTGGAACACAGTTGAGAGATGAACAGTAATCTGAACCAAATTCTTAGTATCTCTGATAATTTTGAAAATGGTATATTCAAGAGTTGTGTTTTGATAATTGTTTCCAGAATGATACTTGCAAAAGTCAGCTGACGAATAATGCCGCAAATTATTTCAAAGATCAAAGACGATATTCATGCCATCTTTAAACTGTGATGTTTCATAGTGGGAAACCCTGTAGCTGTACTGCAGGATTAAACGTGTATTATTTGTTTTATTCAAATACGTAATTTTGCACACGCAATATATATATGTGCAATGTGCATTTTCCTGTGTTCATATTTACTTTTAAAAGCAAAACCCTTATTTTCTGGTTTTATATGAGAGAGAGTTGAAAACTTGAGAAAATTATAGTATTTTCAAACGCAGTTTTCTGTCTAGCTAAATAAATTGTTGTAATGTTGGCCCAGTATTCTGCACTGCAAGATATTTAAATATATGTATCTTTATTTTGGTATCATTGCTATATGATGTGATTTATTTATTCTTAATATTGTATTCAGAAAGATAATCATTATGATTTATAATATTTAGCTTTGTCAAAAACTTGCATTTTTCTGACATTTAATCCCATTCTTTATTGTTTCCCTTTTTGTCTTTCGCCGCCAAATAACATTTTTTAGTGTCGTGTGTTGCCGAAATCTAGCTTTTTAAAAAAAGATTAAGACATCTAAAATATGAGAATTAAAGCTTTGTTAAACTAAAATTCTTGATTTGATAAAACTATTTATTGTCAAAATGTTGATTAAAAAAGTTTATTTTCCTTAAAGTAAAAGATTTGATTTGATAAGCATCATTTTCACAAGTTCACAACATTAATGAAAACTTCAATTCTTTTAGTTTAGACTAAATTAAGATTAAATGGGTGCAAAAATTTATTTTTGTGCAGTTTTGCACTGGCTGATGATCAATCTTTTGATAAAATATTGCATCAAAAAGAAATAGTTTAATTTGCAGAATATCTGCGCATCGCACCGGAACGTAATTCCAAGTGGTCGATCTATTTTAATGTCCAACATGTCCAATGCACTGTGATACCTTTTAAACCTATATCTGAGTAATAATGAGAGAGATATCGTCGTTTATTAATCTAAAAATTTGGTAAGCTCCGTCTTTTTGTCCTTTTTCTGCTGTAGAAAGGTTTCGTTGTGGATCGATTGGGACGATCTTTAAATAAAGGATCACTACGATCTTAAAATAAAGTATCGCTTTAGATTAGGTAAACAGTCTCTTTAGGGCACTAAAAACCTTTGGCCTAAGGTTTGCATGTTTGGGCGGGGGCAACTTTTTGTCCTTTTTGTCTAACCGATAACCACACCTACTCTCAACCTTGTTAATTAAGATCTTAATAAATCAAATCTATGTTTTAATCTTTATTCACAACATTTTAAGCATATATAGAAATTCCGGATAGTTTTAAGTTGGGATCAAAACTTTCAAAAATCTTCCAATTGTAATTTCCACAATAACAATTTCCACAAGAACAATTTCCCAATTGCAATTTCCACAACAGCAATTTCCACATCCAAGAATTTCCCAATTGCAATTTCCATAACAGCAATTTCCTAACAACAATTTTCCGATTGCAACTTACACAATAACAATTTCCCAATTCTCTAATTTTCCCAACAGCAATCCAATCTATTTTGTTAAAGCAATGTCCCAATCCTGAGATTCTCCTAATAACAATTCCCAAAACTAGTCCCGTTTTTTCCACAAAACAAATTTTCCAAAAACAATTTCCCAATCCTCTCGTTTTCCCAACAATTACTTTTTTAACCTATTTACCAATCCTACTTTCCAAACAACATATTCCAAATCATTTATTTTCCCCAAAAAATATTTGCCAAATCCCAAATCTTACATGTATACTGTTATTAGGAAAAGAATAAAAAATGTCAACTCAATACAAATACATACTATTATATATTTATAAATTTTCAATGTAAATTAAAAATGAAGTGAAACAAAGCCAGAAGATTTTTACTTAATTTTTATTGAATAGCGGTAAACTTGATAAAATCAAATAAAGAAATCAGAAATCCGAAAACCTCAAACCAAACCAATGTAGTTCAAAACTTTATGCATCGGTTATAGTCGAATAAATGTCCTAAAATAAACTTGTAAAATATAATAAAATGGAACATAGATAAAGCAAAGAAAATCATTCCTGATGTCAGCAGACATTTATTATCAGATGTCTGGCTGACAGCTGTCATCAGAAACAGCTGTCAGACACGATGATAAATTGCAAGGTTTCGGGCCTAATTCAATACAAGTATAGGGGTAGAAAGGCCTAGAACAACAACTGTTAAAAAGATAGTGAAATGCAAATTTTTTTATTTTTAAAATGTTGAGAAGAACATACTCCTATAACACAAGATGATGTACGATAGCAAACTTCAAATATTTTATACTGTGTCTCACAAAAATTACCTACTACCTACTATTTTACCAAATTTGACTTTTCAACTTTATTTCTACGCGGTATAAACAATGTCATTAACGTACTACTGATAAGCAAACAAGCCAAGTAGTTTTGCCAAGATATATATTAGAGAAAGGGGGCATTATGTGTATGTTACTTATTCTAAGGAAAGAGAAGTGAAAACTGAAAAGTAGGAACCTTTTTAGAAGTTTTAGATCAGAAACCAATAGAAATAAAACATTTTCTTTTTTTCAGGGTAAGAACGTGATTAATCGTCCGACGAAAGACGAGGTAGAACTGTGCCACTACAAGGGAACTGTGCGCGGCATTCCTGGATCCTGGGTCGCGCTTTCAACGTGCCACGGACTCAACGGTGTCGTCTTCGATGGGTTGGATGCGCATCATCTGGAGAGGGTTGAAGATACCTCACTGTATCCTGGAGTACAGAATCCACATTATCTTTACAATCATATTCATTCTAGACAACTCAATAGGTATTATATTTAAATTAACTATACAGGGTGTTTCAAAAAAGTGTAATTGGAGCCTTTTTTTGCATCGAGAAGTCACAAATTTAGGCCTCCAGTACAAACATTTTATTTTATTTTTATCCTCATAGTTTTTTTTAAAAGTCTTTTTTCTATTATAGAAGTAGTGAAATTATCAGATATGTAACTCTGAAAATAATCTAACCAAAGACCGAATATTTCGAATCAAATCCATTTTGTTTGAAAATTACAATATAACTATAGTAAAAATAGATAAATAATAGAATAAATTAAACTCTTTCTTTATTGATTTAGTAAAAATGAATATATATATTAAAGATTTTATTTAGAGATTTTTTCGGAAGATAAATTTATCAATAATGCCAATATTGATATTCTATGCAATTTTTCATCCAAATAGATAAAAAATTGAAGATTGTCAATCTTTTCAAGCTGAATTTTCAAATTTCTTTTTACCGTGTTTGTCATTAGTTAAACTTTTAATTAAAAATTTGACACTATTGCTACTTCTCTTGTTTTGTCTTTTTTTGAGTTAAATGAATTTTAATTTTTTTTTCAACAATAAAATAAGAATTATAAAATTAATAAAAAAATTGTTTTAATGTTAAACATATGTATTTAAATCTTTTCTTGTTGCATTTTCAATTTTAATGAAAATTCAAGCATTTATTTATTGGTATAATTCAAAACTCCAAAGGTATTGAGTCTATGTCGCAAACTCAAATTGTCTAATCCTTGCAACCTGATGGTGAAAACCTTTGATATTTTAAACTTATATTACTTTATTTAACATAATTCATAGTTTGAAACATCCAAGGTTTCTCGCATTGGACACAGGAATTAAAAATTTAGAGTTTGTGGCAAAGACTCAATTCCTTTGAAACTTTGTAGTAATTTTCAGAATTTATTTGTATGAAAAAATTTAATCAGCACATATTATTATGTTTTTGTTTGATTTATATCGTCTATTTTATTTTGAAATGTTCTTTAATGTTTCACTGTCTTTCTAAAATTTAGACTTTATCCAGGAACTATTTTTAGAACCTGTGGTTTCTCCGATCCTGCTCCGGATACTCCGGAAACCCTTGTATCTCCTGAACCTAGCTCCAGGTCCTATATACCTCCAGATCTAACAACAGAATCATTTTTCAAGGATCCAGTTTTCAACAGAATGCTCAGGTACAGGTACAGAGTCCTATTTGAAATAAACCGGAATAAAAGAGTTCAAAATCGTCTTTAATCTTAGAAATTGTTTGCAGCATTCATCAAAGGCAACCTAATTCTAGCAATATTTTTTTATAAAACAATTTTCACAAAATAGCCCTCCTAGTCCTAGTCAGCTCATTTCCTAAACTATTTCTTAAATCGAAGACGACTTTAAATCCTTCAATAAATCAAAATTATTGGGGTTTATTATGAATAGGTCTGTAAATCAAACTTTTACTTAATTTTCGTTTATGGATTTTGAAATACTAGGCTTTCAACACGTTTCACTATCTCTCTTTTTTAACAACTTCAGCTTTTAACTGCAACCATTTTTACTTCGTATAAAAAAAAATAAGAAAAATGATTAAAAAGATTTTTTTTTAATTTTAGGGGTCAACATGTATTTCTTCAAATTTCAAAACTGTGAATTACGATATAAAAAAATTGCTTTTATTCAACATCAAATTGCTTATTTGGCAGCAAAAGGTTGGATGACTGCCGAAAAACGAGTTTTGTTAATTATAAGAGATTTTTTATTTCGTAATATAGAGTGAACCAAAAACCTAGGCTCATGTAAGGTTTTAAAGTTTTAAAGAACTATAGGGTTCGATTGGTTAGGCCGTTTTAATGATAAATGAAAGAAAACAAGCAAAATATAATATATAGATTTTTTCTAGATATAAACGTGATATTTCCAATATTGATGAGAAGCCTGGACCAAGCAAAATAGAAGTTAAAGGACCCTGGAATGCAAACAAAAGATCACGGTTTGTTGAACTTGTCATTGTCGTGGACAACCGGAAGTTTAAAGAGAATGGGGAGGATCTGAACAAGGTGTATAGGAAGTGCAAGGATATGGCGAATATTGCCAACGCTCTGTACGCTCCCTTGAACATCTACATAGCCCTGGTCGGAGTAGTAGTCTGGAGTGAGTATGATGAGATAACTCTGAGTACTAACGGAGACACCACGCTCACCAACTTCCTTCACTACAGGAGGGAGAGACTGGTCAAGGAGCATCCTAACGACAACGCCCAGCTTCTTACCGGTATACAGTTTGACAGTGGAGTTGTTGGGAAGGCCCTGAAGGGTCCGATCTGTACCTACGAGTTTTCCGGAGGTGTGAGCATGTGGCACAGTGAGGTTATCGGTCTAGTGGCGACAACTATGGCACATGAGATGGGACACAACTTCGGTATGGAACATGATACGGAGAACTGTAAGTGTCCTGAGGAACGATGTATTATGTCACCGTCCTCTTCAACTATGAAACCATACTTCTGGTCCTCCTGCAGCCTTGAGTATCTAGCACTGGCATTCGAGCATGGGATGGATTATTGTTTGAGAAACAAGCCTCGAACTTTGTTTGATAGTCCTGTCTGTGGAAATGGGTTTGTCGAGCCGGGAGAAGAATGTGACTGTGGACTCAAAGATCATTGCGACAATCCATGTTGTAATGCGACCACTTGTCGCATGTTTGCTAATGCTACCTGTGCGACTGGAGAATGTTGTGATTTCAAAACTTGTAAACCCAAGACTCCAGGTGCTATGTGCCGACTGTCTGAGCATGAATGTGATCTACCTGAATATTGTACAGGAACCTCGGAGTTCTGTCCTAAGGACATCTACAAGGTTGACGGGATTCCTTGCAAGGTTGGACAGTCCTACTGTTATCAGGGTTCTTGTAGAACACATTCAGATCAATGTCGCCTACTCTGGGGACCATCTGGAAAGAAATCTGACAATCAGTGTTATGAACAAAACAGGAAAGGAAGCCGTCATGGAAACTGTGGATACAATCTGATGAATAAGTCCTATGTGCCCTGTACGAATGAGGATGTACGATGTGGAATGCTCCACTGCTCCCATTTAAATGAAAGATTAGAGTTTGGAATGGAATCTGTTGCAATTCTGTCTCATTCCTTCATCAACTCTGGAGGCCGGATTATCCCTTGTCGAACTGCTCTGGTAGATCTAGGGTTAGAGGACGTTGATCCAGGTTTAGCTCCAGAGGGAGCTAGATGTGGTGAGGATAGTTTATGTGTAAATAAGAAATGTATGCCTGTAGCTAGTTTACAGATTGGACCTCTATCCTGCCCCAACAACTGTAATGACAAAGGTGTTTGTAACAGTCTTGGACACTGTCACTGTGATGTAGGTTGGGCCCCACCCTTCTGTGATGGACCCGGAGCTGGAGGTAGTCTGGATAGTGGTCCAGCTAGTAGTCCAGATGGTGGATCTGCAATCTCCACCGCCTTGTTCATCCTGTTCTTGGGTATCCTCCCTCTTATCCTTGTCATATCCTGCATTATATACCTCACCAAGGGCAGCCTCCACTCCTATATTAAGAAATCTAAACGTGAGGAGGGATTTATCAAGGTGGAGAGAAGACGCAGCTCCCGTCCTCCGTCTAGACTAAACCTGGATTCTAAGGATATCTCCGGACCAATATCTGTTGAAACTACAAACAGCTTAACCTCCAGTCCTACACATGCTCTCCTCCCTAGATCATCAACTCAAACTTCAGATATCGGAGAAATTCCTCCTGTCTCTGTTATAAACTCCAGTGAGACCAAGAGACAGGGATTATTCTCCGGTAGTGTGTTTGGACTGGGCGGGTTAGGGTACAGGAAATCTCAGGATAAACTAGATTCTTCTGGAGAAACTCCACCTGAATCTCTCACAGACAGCAACTCCAAGGTCAACAGTTCTAGGTCTAAAGCAAGTAATATTCTAAAATCATTTAATAAAAGTATATCCTTCCCATCCACCTTCCCTAGTCCCAAGTTCCGAACCTCCTTGAAGAAACAAAACTCAGAGAGTAATAAATATGAAGTGAAGATAGAGCCTAGTCAGCAGATGGATAATTCTCCGGTTGATCCTGCAAAGATTGAATGTGTGCCCTTGTCCGAGGGAACAGTTGCCAATTCTTCGCAGTTCCTTCAAAACATTGCCAGCACATCCTCTATACCACCTCCATTACAACCTAAACCTGTTCTAGCCGTAGCAGGATCTAAATCATTCTCAACTTTTCAAAATAATAAAACCAAAGCGTTCACCTTGCCCCCCAGTATGTCCCTGGGTCAGGTTACAGCATCTCCAGTTCCTGTTTCTAAACTTGAAACCAAAGTTGTTCTCGCCGAACCTGAGGAACTGTCTCCGTCCCACACTGTGGTTGATTTCAAGAACAATCCTAAACTTGCATTCCCCCATAGTTCTAGTTTCTCCGGGTCCGGCAAACTACAGGAGGAGAAACCCATCCATGGTAGTCCAAGTGCAGGAAGTATAGCGGTCAAAAATATTCTCCAGAACCTAGAGAGGAAGAAATCTAACCCTAGTTCTTACATGAACAGGAATACACCAGGAGCCAACAGAACGGTTTCTTCTTCTTACTCTGCCAATATCCATCCTGTTCAGTCTCCCTTCTTGAAGAAACAAGATCCTAAACCTACTCCAGTTACAACCCTCACAGTGTCACCTTTCTCTCAAACCTCTCAACCCTCAACTACAGGCTCTTCTACAGTCTCTCCTGCACAAACAAAGCCAGCTGTAACCTCAACCAAACCTCAAATACCAGCTTCAAAACCTTCTCTGCTAGACTCTAAGCTTTCAATAACAACTTCAAAACCTGCCTCTTCCCCTAAATCCACTGGAGCTAAGCATACAATTTGGTCTGTTATGGATTCGGAAAAAGATACAAAATCGGAAAAACCCATACCTACAGAAAACCCTAAGCCTGAAAACCAAAGTAAACCTCTAGAAAAGTCTACTCCACCTAGTCTGAAAGAACCCTCAGATACTATCCCTAAAAGTCCCCTTGAAACAACTGCAGATACTTCTAAACCCAGTGTGAAAACTTCTGAAGCAGTTTCTTCTCCCTCTGGTAAATCTAAACCTCCTCTCTCAAGCTCTAGAGTTGGAACATCAACCAGCTCTTCTAAACCTGTAATAAGCCGGCCTGTTCTCCAGGCTGCAACACCTAACGCAGCTTTACTGATTGCAAAAGCCCCTTCAACAGGAGTTTCACAATCCTCTATCCTTGCTACTAAAGAGAAAGAATCTGATCCGTTTAAACCTCCCCGGGATAAAGGACGCAGAGCCATATTCTGTGATCCTATTACTCTTCCTAGTCCAACCAGTCCTAACAATCCTCCCATCATTCATCAACCTTCAGGTCCCAGTTCTACAGATGCTACTGTCGGTAAGATCATTACTCCCACCTGGTCTGTTCAACCTTCTCATGCTGTAGCTGATCAGGTTCAAGTGTGCAACCTTGATGGAAAACTCAGTCCGGAGCCGGAGAAGCCGAACCCAACTGAGAAATCCACATTCTCTAAACTAATCTCTAATGTGAAAAGAACCCCGTCCCTGGGCGTGGCAGACAGACCTACAGGTAAAGAGAAGGATAAGAGTTCAACCCTACCTAGGAAACCTAAAGGAGGAAAATATGACAGAAATAGTTTACGAACCCTTGAGATATCTAGTCCCATCCTTCAATCCGAGCTGGGGTATAAAGCAGACCTGGTTCCAGTTTGTAAATCTCCAAACCTAGATCAACCAGACTCACGCCTTTCTCCAACCCTGGAGCATCAATCTAGTCCTGAAAGCAAGCATGCTGCTCCTAAACCTCCTTCTAAACCTCAAAATGATGATATCAACTGTAAAGATAAAACAAGAAGTCGATACCAACCCCCGTGGAGATCTAACAAAGGCAATAAATCAAGTGAGAACAGAGAAAGTGACTCTCAACCTAAGGTTTCAAACAGTGATGATAGCCTAGACTTAGCTAAACCTGAGACCCAGAGCTCCCGATCAAAACGTCCTGCTAGCATTGCAACTTCTAAACCTATCCGACCCAGTGGACCTCCTCCTAAACCTCCACCAACTAGGGTTGGGAGCGAGGAACCCTCTCCGGATGATATTTTTATAAACCGTCAACCTGGTCTATTCACGCGTCCAGCTCCTTTAGCTAATATTAGAGAAACCCTCTCTCCCTCTCTGAACGAACCCATCTATGATACAATCCAGGAGGAGACGGATAAAAGAGCAAGTTTAATCTCCCAGGATGAGTTTGAAACCCCTCTAGGTTCTCCAACCCTGACCAAGAAGTCTCCGGATACCCTGTCTACCGGCAGCAGTGCGGAGGAGGACCTCATGAAGGAGATCTTGAAGGAGGTTCATGTTAAATCTGAGGGAGAATCCATCTACAGTAGTCTAATGAGGAAGGATAGGAAGAAGAGAAGACAGAAACAGATTCATAGCTAAACTATCAGGGTTTGTTTGTGGATTAGAAGCTGTCATGTTGTTAATCCAACAGATTATTCAGATATATTCCTTGATATCAATGCTTGCAAATATAAACAAGGAGATAAGATAATGCTAAATATTAAATAAACAAAAGGATGTTTCTCTCTCCCCCCCCCCCCTGACTGTAGAAATCTATACCCTGAGAACACAAAAGACAATGAAAGATTCCAGATCTGATAAACTCGATGATTTTATTCTAAACCTTGACAAGAACTTCATGGAGGGTTTACAATCTTAAAACCCTTTGTTCAGATTTATTGTAAAAAAGATTTCTCTTAAATTTGTGAAAACTGAGAATTCTTGCGTGGCTGTGAACCGTTTTTAATGAATTAAGAATACTTGTGCTCACTTCATACTGCGAAATTGTTTCTTGAATATTTATAATTCAACTAAATTTACAAAAGAATATGCATTTGGAAAAGACGCCTTTGATGATAACAAATGAACTTGAGTGTTTTTGTCTCATTTGCTTTCTTTATCTGTAAAGATACAAATCCTTTCTTATTCTGCACATGTATGTATCCTCTCTTGTTCTTTTTAGTCCTCTGTAGTCTTTTCTCATTTTTTGTAGACCTCTGTTATTCTTTATTGTCCTTTTTGTCCTTTATTATTCTTTTTAGTCCTTTTTAGTCCTCTTTTATTATTTATCGTCATTTTGCACTCTTTTATCCTTTCTTGTCCTCTGTAGTTCACTTTTATCCTAAAGGGTACAACATTGAGGCTTCAGCGATGACTGTTCGAGATTTTTTTCGTATTTTTTCATAATTCATTATATTATTTGTTTCATTCAATCTTTAAAGAAACAAACTCAAGTTCAACCCGGGGATCTATTTGTTGAAAGAGTTTCAGTTAGTCATTAAAGTCTCAACTGTGAAGTTGAAGAACATTTTGTTGAAAAATATTCTAATAATGTTAAATTTTATTAATCAGAAAAAAGAATGTTGTTTAGCTTGAACAGTCGCCTTGTGGACCTTTTTTTAAAGTAATTTGATAAATTATACTCAAAAACATATTCTTAGAAGTGCAGGCCAGGAAAACTTAATTTAAAGTTTAAATAAAAAACCTGGTTTTGAAATATTGTTGTTCCTGACCGAAACTCTGTTTTATGATCTAAAATGTTTGTTAACATATTATTATAATTTCGGGAAGTTTTATTTATGACATTCCGAAAATATGGGGATATAAAAAGTAATATGAATTGGTGCTAGTAGTTAAAACCCGAAAACATTGATATATTGTACACATGTACATAAGTTACAACTGCTTTTAATCAGCTTACAAAATTTGCTTAAGCACTGCAAACACGCACATGTACAATATTGTACACGCTGGTTCATGTCAACCGTATGTATGTACATTTCTGATCTCTTGTTATTATTTTGTAAAAATAGGCCTTTTTGTTAACTAAACTTACCCTACTGTACAGTGTGTGTGATCATATATATTCATGCTGAATTATTGGAATAAAATTAAACTAGTCAAATAGGTTTTTTTCTAAAATTGTCGTTAAAGTTTAGAAAATATTTATTTATCAAATTATCTTTATTTGGCACATTATCTAAAAATCGGTCTATTTACATAAACAAATAATAAAGTATGAAGGAGGGCTTACTAGTGCTTGAGCTGTTTTCATCTTGTCCCCCTTTATATGTACACTTATTTAAATCAGTACACGATGAAAAGGGGAGATTAGGAATCTATATAAGAAAGTTAGAGGGGAAAAAGTTGCTAAAAAATAACCTGACAAATAAAAACTTTGGTTAAAAAGTTCCAATTTTCTGAAGTCCTAGGACAAAATGTCACTGGAAATAGAGATTTAGATTCCTGGGACTTTTTCCCTAAAATAATATTGGGGCTGCTAATAAAGTCTCAGGAAATAAGATCTGCAGGAATTAAAGTCCTGAAGAAAAAAGTCCCAAGTCTTGGGAAAATGAGGTCAAGCCTCAGACGTTTTCATAAATGGAGTTTTCTTCAATGCATCTGCATATCGAATATAGCCAGGGGTGTTTTAATATCTAGTCCTTATTTCCATTGTTGTAAACATCCTTTGTTCCCAAGCATTTTCCGATTTAAGAAGACTTTTTTCCAAGGACTTTTTTGTATTAAATCATACTGGAACCAATAATAGTCTCAAAATGGTAAGACACTATTTCCAGAGATTTTTTATTTCAACAACTTTTTTCCACATGACTTTTTTTGTGTCAAAATTTAGGACTTCATTTCCGAAAATTTGTTGAAGAGAACTATTTTGGCGGTTTCCGGAGATTTTTAAATATTAGAGCAAGAGTAGGAAAAAAGACAAACACATTGTAAATTTAGACAATCCTGGATTAGATGAAATTTTAAATTAATACGGAAAAGTGATTTGCTAGTAATGACCCATAGATGAGCAGGCAAATTATTCCAAATTAAAATAATTTAACATACATAATACATCATATTATAATAATACATAATAATAATGCATAATCCAATTTTGATCGAGGAACTCGTTAGAAGCACTGTAATTTTCTTAGCTTGGTTTTAAATTCTAAGTTAAGTGGGTCGACTTATATAGCAAGAAATGTATAAAATCCTACTTTAAAGCAGGGCAACGCTGCGTTCCTAAGCTGCGCATTATATGAAGAAAAAATATGAAAAAATTTCCCCAATTTTAGGGTTCTCAAAAATAATATTCATTATACTTATGTAGTCTTCTTCCTTGTCTGACCTTTGAAAATTGAAACTGATTTTTAAATCCCAGTTTTTAAGTTTAAGGTTTCCGTCTCTTTTCCAGTAAATTCCAGACAAGTGTTCTAACATTTAGTTCAACTTGTAGAAGAATTGAACGGAGAAAGTGACAGAATTAAAAAGAAGAAGGGAAAATGGAAAACATTTAACAAATGTTTGAATAGAAGTTAAAAATTTTGTATGTAATAGCAATTAAGCGTTAAATTCATGAGGAACAAAACAAATGATTCGTTTTTTTGCGAGTGGGTTCACATTTATAGCTAAAATTGTAATTTACGACCAAGAGCGGATAAACGACGGGAGCAACTATGAGTACCCTGGGCAAAGCTGCGGTTACGAACGTAGATTCACCTTGCTTTTAAAAACTTTCATCAGTTTTAAGACAGGGTCGACTTCTAAGTGTCGCAACTCACTGGACTTTGATTTTACCGCTCTAATTTACTTACTTACGCCTTTCTTTATCCCTTTACATTACATATAACCATTATAAAGCACTTGTTGTTAGCTTTAGTAATTGGCAAAATTTTTCATTGCTTTTTGCTTGAGAGTATAGGATCTTTAAATCACAGTGGGCTCTCAAGGCTAGTAGTATCTATATATATATATATATATAAAGTTGTAATCTCTGTTTG